CATTCTTTAGATGATAACTCGGAATGGAAGGACCGACCTCAGGTGAATTCTTTATTGGCTTGATATTAGAACACTGTTTTTATGAGTGGAGAGATTTTTTCAGCATTAATTTTTTTCTTTTTGGCAAGCTAATGACGTGGCCCAGGGTCGTGCAAAAAAATTTTATAAATTTATTCAATGGTCAGGTTCACGCTGCTGAACTGGTAGCACAAATGGCTCGTGCTCTGGAACTGCAAGAGCAATGGGATGAAGCATTGGCCAAATATACGTTGGCTATCGAAGGTGCAATGCGTGTTCTGAGTAGCGAGGATCGCAGTGCCCAACGAGCTGTTAAATTGCAGCGTAAAATCTCCAACTGGTTGTCATCAGCGGAGCGAATCAAAGTATGCCACTTATTTTTTTTCTTTTTTTTGTTTTTTAAATTTTCACTTTGCATTGTATCTTCGTAAGATTACCTCAGCACTGAGGCCGAGGAAGGATATTAGCCGTTTTCTTCAATTTTTTCTAAAATTTGTGTTACAAATTCTGAAATTACAATTTGTATTACAGTTTCTTTTGAAATTTGTAATGACACAAGTGCCTATGATTGCCTCAGCACTGAAGCTGAAAAGGAATGTTAGCCGTTTTCGATCAGTTTCTTCTGAAATTTGTATTATTTGACTCGAGTGCCGTTTTTTTTTTTTTTTTTTTCATTCAAAAATTTTACCAGAAATATGTGGAAGTGATGGAGGCCGTCTATGGGATTTCGTTGAATGGCGATGATGAAGCGGAAAAGCAGCTTCAAATTACAGCCAACAAGCACTGTTCACTTATGTAAGTGTCATCATTCACGTACCTTTTAGCTCTCTTCATACTCGCTGTCCGATAAACTCGAGGGATTGTACTGAAAAAAATTCAGTGCTTTTAATGAATATGGATCTCTAAATTCCTTACTGTCTCACAAACTGTTCGAATTTAGCGATCCTGCGAACAATTTGCCATCAAACTAATTTTCAGTTTATTTTGGAGCTTTTGTTCGAATTTGTTTTCCTTTCCTTTTTTCCCCCTATATCCCTTTTTCCTTATTCTTCGCACTTAAATCTTGTTTAGGCAGAAACAGACGACGTATTCTGTTGCTGGATACGCCACTCTATCTTAAACATTGTAAATGTTTTTTGTATAGAGAAATTGTTAAAAACTGCTCACTATTCTGGGCTTCTAATTGCGGTTTAATTATGTGGTACTTTACATTCTTTGTGGAACACTGATTGTTAGCTTTTTTTTTTTTT